AAAAAAAAAAAAAAAAAAAAAGGAAGAATAGAGAGCCTAGAAATAAACCCTCACATGATGTAGTTAAATTACGGTTTTTTTGTTTTGGACATGGAGTTTTGTTCTTGTCGCCCAGGCTGGAGTGCAGTGGCGTCATCTTGGCTCACCGCAACCTTTGCCTCCCGGGTTCATGTAATTCACCTGCCTCGGCCTCCCAAAGTATTGAGAGTACAGGTGTGAGCCAGCCGATTTTTGACAAGGGTGCCAACACCATTCTTTCAGACTTTCCAGCAAGTACTAGGTAAACTGTATGTCCACATGGAAAATAATGAAGTTGGGCCCTTATACCATATGCAAAAATTAACTCAAAGTGGATCAAAGACCTAAATTTAAGGCTTGAAACTGTAAAACTCTTAGAAGAAAACATAGGCAAAACCCTCATGACATTGGATTTGGCATTGATGTCTTGGATTTGATACCAAAGGCATAGGCAGCAAAAGAAAAAGACAGATTGAACTTCTCAAACTTTAAAAATTCGTGCACCAAAAGACAACATAAATAGTAAAAAGGGAGAAAATATTTGCAAATCATATATCTGACAAGGAATTAATATCTAGATTATAGAGAGACCTCCTGAATCTCAACATCAAAGAAGCAAAACACCCAGTTCAAAAAAAATGGGAAACACCTTCTTCCAAAGAAGATATAGAAATGACCAGTAAGGACTTGAGAAGATATTCACTATCAGTCATTATTAGGTGAATGCCAGTCAGAACACAGTGACCTCCCACCTCACACCATTGGATTGGCTGCTACTAAAAACATCAAACCCAGAAGACAATGTGAGTAAGGATGTGGGGAAACTGGAACTGTTGCGCACCATTGCAAGGAACGCAAAACAGTGTGGCCGCTGTGGAAAACAGTCTAGCAGTTCCTGCAGAAGTTAAAAATAGAATGACCGTATGATCCTTCAGCCCCACTTCTGGACGTAGACCCAAACTGAAGGCAGGGTCTTAAAGGAATATTTGTACGCTCGTTCTCATAGCAGCGTTGTGCACAATCTCCAGAAGATAGAAGATACAGTGGGATATTATTCAGCCTGACGAAGGAAATTCTGACGTGTGCCGAGACATGAAGTAACCCAGGACGTTATGTCAGTGAAATAAGCCAGTCACTGAGATTTCTAGAGTATCAGATTTGCAGAGACAGAAGGTAGAATGGAGGTGGCCAGGGGCTGGGAGTGGAGAGGGGAGCTGGTGTTTCTTGAGGACCGATCTTCAGTTTGGGAAGGTGAGAACATTCTGGAGACAGGTGGTGTGATGGCTACACATCTACGTGAATGTGCTTCGTGCTGCTGAAGTGTGCACTTTAAAATGGTTACAGTGGTAAATTTTCTTTCTTTTTTTTTTTCTTTTATTATACTTTAAGTTCTGGGGTGCCTGTGCAGAACGTGCAGGTTTGTTACATAGGTATACATGTGCCATGCTGGTTTGCTGCATCCATCACCCCATAATCCACTTTAGGTATTTCTCCTAATGTTAGCCCCCCCCAGTCTCCCCATCCCCCTAGATCCCCCACCCTCCGACATGCCCTGGTGTGTAATATTCCCCTCCCTGTGTCCATGTGTTCTCATTGTTCAGCACCCGCCTTTGAGTGAGAACATGCCGTGTTTGGTTTTCTGTTCTTGTGTCAGTTTGCTGAGAATGATAGTTTCCGGCTTCATCCATGTCCTTACAAAGGACATGAACTCATCCTTTTTTATGACTTCATAGTATTCCATGGTGTATATGTGCCACATTTTCTTTATCCAGTCTATCATGGATGGGCATTTGGGTTGGTTCCAAGTGATTGCTATTGTAAATAGTGCTGCAGTGAACATACATGTGCATGTGTCTTTATAATCGAATGTTCTATAATTGATAGGGAGGCCGAGGCGGGCAGATCTCAGGTCAGGAGTTCAAGACCAGACTGGCCAACATGGTGAAACCCCGTGTCTACTAAAAAATACAAAAATTAGCTCAGCATGGTGGCTCGTGCCTGTAATCCCAGCTACTTGGGAGGCTGAGATAGGAGAATTGCTTGAACTGGGACCTGGGAGGTGGAGGTTGCAGTGAGCCGAGATTGCGCCACTGTACTCCAGCCTGGGCTACAGAGCAAGACTCCATCTTGAAAAAAAAAAAAATCTGTGTTTCCATAGGAAATGCTGATATTTCCTTTTTTTGTTGTTATTATCGTTATTTTTAACATTTTCATATTTGTTTTTCCTGTAATTAGAGCCAGTTGTTGACGCACAGTAGGATTGTGCTCTGTGATAGACTCATGGGAACAACCTTTTCTCTTCCACAGCGCTGCAAACTCCTGCCCCTCCAGCCCCCGGGGAGCGGGGTCTTCAGGGTACAAGGTGGGCCGAGTGATGCCATCTGACCTCAATTTAATGGCTGACAACTCACAGCCTGAAAATGAAAAGGAAGCTTCAGGTGGAGACAGCCCGAAGGTAAAGGCTTTGTAGCCTTGAACAGCCCCGGGGACACCACGCAGCTACAGGACCCTCAGTGCCACCTGCCTGTCTAGGGACAGCCTTGAGTGGCCACTGTACTCCAGCCTGGGCCACAAACATAGCAAGACCCTGTCTGAAAAAAAAAAATGGGGGATGTAGAGGGTCTTCTTGTGATGACATTTTTCTGTTCAGAAAAAAAATGCCAAAGTTGACTTTGGGAGGCCAAGGTGGGCGGATCACTTGAGCTCAGGAGTTTGGGAAACAAAGCAAGACCCTGTCTCTACAAAAAATACCAAAAATTAGCCAGGCATGGTGGCATGCACTTGGAGTCCCAGCTACTGGGGAGGATCACCTGAGCCCTAGGAGCTCAGACTTCAGTGAGCCAAGATCACACCACTCTACTCCAGCCTGGATGATAGAGTGAGACCCTATCACCCCAAGAAAAAAAAAAAAAGAGAACCCTCCCTGTGCCCACCCTGAGGTGCTGGTGCTGAGCACGGCCTGTGCTGTGGAAGTCCGTGGTGCCCTCCTGGATGCCCTGGGCGCATCTGATGTCCTTGCCTCCTGCCTGTCAGCCTGCCTGTTTTTTGTTCCATTTGTGTTTATCCTTGAATAATATCTATAATTGTTCACTGTAAAACTTCATATAAATAGTATCATCTTGGATGTATTGTTTTGAAAATGACTTTTTTCATCTAGCATTATCTGTTGCTCTTCATCCATGTTGATACGTGTATTGCCCAGAAGTTCACAACTGGGGGCGGTTCCCTTTCCCCAGTGGGCTTGTGCCGACGTGTGTGGGTTTCAACTTGTCACCATGACAAGGAGCCACCAGTGGCCTTGAAAGAGCCAGGACTGGGGTTGTCAGCCTGGCAGTGGGGCACATAGCAGCCAGCATGTCTCTGACCCTGAGGTGGAGCCTCCATGGGGCTCTTCATGGGTCAGGGGGCTGCTCCTCGTGGGCAGGGGCTCCTTGTGGAGGAGTGTTTGGTGAGTCTGGGGCTCTGAGCAGCCCTGGCCACCCCTGGTGCTCATGCCTGGGGAGGGGTGCCTCTGGCTCTGCCCTCAGCCAGCCTTCCCCACCCCTGTTCTGTGCCCCTGGGGTAGCCAGCCGGATCTGGTCCTGACTGAGGTGCTTTCCTTGGACTCCACTGAGGTCAAGCAGCCTTTATTTCTTGGTTTTTGACATTTGGATTTTTTTTCCTTATGTGATTTTTAGTATTTTTCTTTATAGTCTATAGTTTTTTATTAGTTTCTTCCATGTTTTCAAACTAGATTACTTTTATAGTAAGAAAAATGAGGTAACAGGCCGGGCGAGGTGGCTCGCACCTGTAATCCCAGCAGTTTGGGAGGCCAAGGCAGGCAGATCTCCTCAGGTCAGGAATTTGAGACCAGCGTGACCAACATGGTGAAACCCTGTCTCTACTTAAAATATAAAAATTAGGCTGGGCGTGCTGACTTAGCCTGTAATCCCAGCACTTTGGGGGGCCAAGGTGGGTGGATCATGAGCGAGACCATCCTGGCCAACATGGTGAAACCTCATCTGTACTAAAAATACAAAAATTAGCCAGACGTGGTGGCACGTGCCAGTGGTCCCAGCTACCCAGAGGCTGAGGTGGTAGAATCTTTTGAATGAAGGCCTCGGAGGTTGCAGTGAGCTGAGATTGCACCACTGCAGTCCGGCCTGGCGACAGAGCAAGACTCTGTCTCAAAAAATAATAAAATAAAAATTAGCTGGGCGTGGTGGGTGCCTGTAATCCCAGCTACTCAGGAGGTTGAGGCAGGAGAATTGCTTGAACCTGGAGGTAGAGGTTGCAGTGAGCCGAGATCACACCACTGTACTCCAGCCTGGGTGGCAGAGTGAGACTCAGTCTCAAAAATAAAAAATGAGGTATCAGGCCGGGCGCGGTGGCTCAAGCCTGTAATCCCAGCACTTTGGGAGGCCGAGGCGGGTGGATCACGAGGTCAAGAGATCGAGACCATCCTGGTCAACATAGTGAAACCCTGTCTCTACTAAAAATACAGAAAATTAGCTGGGCATGGTGGTACGTGCCTGTAATCCCAGCTACTCAGGAGGCTGAGGCAGGAGAATTGCCTGAACCCAGGAGGCGGAGGTTGCGGTGAGCCGAGATCGTGC